CTGAGCCTGTGACAAGGTAATTACAGGCTTCCTTTCTTCTAGCCCACAAAGGTTCAATTCATTTCACCATGTGTAAGTTACGCTATAATCTGCAGGCACTCACTCCTAACCCACCCCTGCCCTTAGTGCAGTCTGATGAGAAGTTAATTATCCAGGATGGCAAGTGTGAATGAGAGAAAGACAGTGAAGAACAGCTCCACTCCTGCAGGCTTGTATGTGGGCAAACAAGCCATTACCTTTGTATCTGAAGCCTCCCAGGGGATGCCACACTGTGTCAGAAAGCTCTGCAGCTCTTCCTCGCTGTAAGAGCTTATCAGCTCAAGCCTGAAGTTTTCTTCCTGAAGGAGCCTCACCAAGGCACTCCCATTACCTGCAAAGGCAGGAAACAAGCCTCAGGAAGGGAAGTCACCAAAATAATTTCTTCTGAAGACTACAGAAGCAGAGACTGCACAACCAACTGCCAGCAAGAGAAAGTCGTGAATAGACCTATTTCCAAAGAGCGTCACAGCCCACACTTCTCTCAAACCCTTCGCTAGTGAGGTCACCAGACTGAGCCCAGCAGAGCTGCAGACTCCATGAGCACTTGTCTATCCTGTCGTTTGTAACCTTTAAACAACTGGTTGGACCGACGTGAGGATAAACAAGTGACAGAAGAGCATAGAGAAATGTGACTGCAGCCTTCGGACTGAGCAGCTCCAGGCTCACCCTTCACATCTCCCCGGTTCTTTCTCTGGAGCTCCACTTCCACAAAAGCCCATGTAGCCCTTCTGCAGCTCAACTCTCTGAAACAGCTGCAGCCCTGTCTGCAAAGCCAACTCAGATACTTGTTAAGCTTGCAAAGCCAGTTTTCCTTCTTATACCTAACACCTAAACTGTTAAAGGAACCGGGTGCTAACTAAATTTAGCTATCATACATCTGAGCTTCTTCATCTCATGGTTTCTTGTTACATGCAGTCAATGCCCTGGATATACTGAATGTTGACAACACTGATCAGGACTAACACATCCATCTCCTAGTCTTTTTTTCAAGTTCTGTAAAAACTTATTCACCCTTTATTGAGATCTGGATATCGAGATACCAAGCACTGCCTGCAGCTTTCACAGTCCAAGTATCAGCCTAACATGAAACAAATACTGACTGGCATTCAAGTTGTGCATGCATCCCTCTGCAATCAGACCATATCTCATTTGGGGTGCAGGGCTCTCATGTCCCCCATGTCTCAAATGCATCAGAGCACACCAGTGCATTCAAGCTTCACTGGGCAGGCCAAAGCTCAAGCTGCTAAGTATCCTGAGAACAGCTGAACTCACCCCAGCATTCTTGCCTTCTCCCAGCAGACACAACTTTTAGAGAGTCATGCAATCATCAATTCTCAACTCTAAACATCACCAAAAGGCTGAAGTCACCGCCACGTAAAGCACTCCCTTACTAAGCACAACCTCAGCAGTTACCTGGCACTGGCTGTGCATCCAGGTTCTTGTCCTTCTCAGTATTGATCACCATCGCTCCTCTCATCAGTGGAGGGAAAAAAGGAGCAACAATAGAGGCATCAAACTTTGTGATGGGGATGCTAGAAGGAAAAGCCACCTGCTCAATCACCTCTGTCTCCATCGTGGACCAAAAGTCTTCTACATTCACTTCACTTGATGGCAAGAATTCTGGCCAAGTAAACTAGAAAGAACAAGAAACACACTGGTCAAATACAAATAACCGTAGTTCATTTGGCAGTTTTGTGTCAGCCTCACTCAAGGCATGAGGACTACACAGGAGAGCGCTCAGCCCAAACGTAACAAGATGACTTCAGGCTCCCAGAGTTCCCCACAATCACTTTTCTTTGGGTGAGAGTCAAAACCTTTATTTGACATAAAAGCCAGACATGCTGCATACTACTAGCAGGGCTTTTTTCCCCATTAGAGAAGACAGCACCTCAAGGAAACTGCTGTTGGGGAAAAAAAAAAAGAATGCCTTCGTGTCAAAGGAAGAAGGCCAAGTTCAGCAACTTTCATCCAAGGTCCCTACTGTCAGAGGCTGCTGGACAAAAGCTGTGGTCCAGGGACAGAGGATCTTGTTTTCCCCAAACCATACATCAACACCTCTAAGAGGAAGTGCAAGCATCGCCACTCCAGCCACATCCTCTTGCCAGGCATCAGCAGAAAACTGCTCGCAAAGGTCTCGTGTAATTATCGTGCATTATGAAGACCAGAGTCAGCAAAAGTCATTATGATCTGCTTTGAACACGAACAGGATGTGAAGTTTGTGAAAAGCCTACCTCTATATTTTTCAGCGCCAGGACATTTTCCACATTCCTCTGGGCTATTTCCACCTTGGGGGTTATGCCACAGATTCCACAGATCATATCATTGTAATCCCGGACTGTTAGGCATTCAAAGGCCCAGTAGCCGTTGCACAGCAGTTCCTGGAGCTGAACCTGCTCATCAGGGCTCAGGCTTTTTTCTGAAAAGAGAACATGCCACTGTTAGAGCTTTCACTTCCTAAAGTCAGTGGAGAGGTACTAGAACTCTCCTACGCAGAATAAAAACAAACCTGTCCTCCAGAGAATTGTTAAAAAGAACTGGTCACAGAGGTACTGTTGGGTTTAGGAAGTGATTTAACAGAAACATACCACACTGGAATAGGTGAGGTTTGCCTTTTCATAACCTAACAATCATCAGCAGGTCACAGTTTGGTGTGTTATGGTAAAAAACAAGAAGGAAAACCCACCAGTATGCTCCCGAACAGAGTCGAGAATATTGCCAACAGCCACTCTGGGATCCTCTCCAAGTTTAATGTGGTTTCGGATTGCAAACAGAAGATCCAAGCTCACTAGCAACTTGTTACCCACATTAAAAAGGCCTGCAGTTAAAACAAGACAGTTATTGTCTGTAGGGTTCCAAATCTTCCTCACAAAGAAATATATTCCTTACCGATACGCAACATACTCATACGAGTACAGTTCAGAGGATAACGGAAACATGTGGATAGTGCTTCTGGGACTGTTCTCTCTGCACATTAGCAAGATTAGCTCCTTTCACAGACTTGCCTTCAAATTTAAAAAGCTACAAGGAACAGCAGCCAATCCATCTCCTCAGCTCCACGCTGCCTTGCAGGAGCCCCACAGTGACTGCCACTCGAGTCTTTGCTGAGAGACAGCACTCTGCAGAGATGTCTTTGACTACGATCTCAGGGGTTGCCTTGCAGAACTCAACATTTACCACTTACACAGAGCAGACCTACACCAGTGAAGCAGGACATGGTCTTCCTCATCAAAGCATTCATACATGTTTTTCCTCACAAATATAGATTTACTTGCAGAAGAAGCAGAATAATAGTGCAAGTCAAAAATAATTCAAGTTCAATACATTGGGGCAGGGAATAGGCTTTTCTGTGCAAAGACAATGCCCTGATACAGCCCCAATGCTTCTGAAGGGTTTAGACTGTAGTCATGCTGTAAGTTGGTATGCTTACATTTTTCCTACCTGTGTAAATATCGGTGAAGCTATGGAGGGCCAGACACTGCAGGTTCAAGCACACTTTGACCTGAGCTGTAACCACCTGTAATCTATTAGCTGTCAGCAGCCAGCACTCCTGCGGACCAGCAAGGGAACTGTAACAGACAACAAAAGACGACTCAGAGTCAAGCCAACAACTTTTTCAGTCCAGCCCTGCAGTAACTTAAAATGTTCCAGTTGAGATGAGTTCATTAGTACGTCAGCCTAAGCCAGGTCACATCGTTTCACACCAGAAAAAAAAGTTACATTTTAAAATGGATTCCCCTGGCAGAGTCAGGTCACTGCTCACATTCTTTCAACAGCACTACAGCATCTCTCCAGCTCCATACATTGGGCACATAGTATTTGAGAGGTGGAGAAAATCTATGGCCCCAGCTGCCCTGGGAGAAGTGTCAGCCCTATTGCTGTGGGACAACAAACGGTGACTAGTAACACATTCTACCTGACAGCCTGTCCCTGCACACACAGGTTCAGAAAGGCCTGCTCCTCTACAGTACAGCTGCCGAGGAGGAAGTTCAGACAGGAAAATACCAGTTGCGCCCTAGTGGCAGAAATATAGCTGTCCACCTGAGAAAATAGGAATCAAAGTCAACCCTAGCTCCCTCCCACTGGCAGGGGTTTAATTAGAGCCTATGCAGGCACATGTGAGAGTCCCACACGCAGAGCATTGCAAAGCAGCCCAGCACAGAAGCAAGGATTTACAATGCACAGGTTGGTAAGTCACAAGGTGAGGGACAGGGTGCAAGATAGCACTGTTCTGCAAAAATTACTGAGTATAAAGAAGTATCTCTGCTGGAAAAATCTCAATTAGTACTAGCCTGGCCAAAGCAAACATCCGTAATTGGTATCAAGAAAATCTTTTTCGTTGAAGAAAGAAACACAACAGTAAACTACCCGACATTTTGCTGCGGGAAACGTTTCAGCTCATGCTTTCAGCAACAGAAGGATGTTTGGCAGACTCAGTGAGGAGATATCCTACGGGTTTTTATACAAATCTAGTTAAGGTAATCTAGCCTATGCACTGGCAGTTTCTGAAAGTCCTTCAGGTTTCAATTTGGATATTCATACCAAAAAAGGATTCACTCAAGCCCACGCTAAGCCATGAAAAAAACAAAAACATCCTAAGCAAAAAGATCCACACAGGAAATATTCAGATCAGGAAGAGAGAGAAAAGGGAAATCACATAATGCACATCTATAAACCCACAAGTTTGCCTCTGTCAGCCTCAAAACAGCAGAATGGAAAACAAAGAAGGGATGACTAATGAAAAGACTCTGTTTCACAAAAAAAAAAATTACATCTAGACTTAGGAGTCACTCTTTGATCAAGCTCTCCTGCTGTATGGAAATGGTAACTATGACAAACTAGACTGCACAGAGAAACAGAAACAGCTTATCGCTAACCAGCTAAACCCTTTCCACACACACGCAGCTTATTCAGTGCCACTTACACCAGCTTCAGTACCAGGGGCTAAAGCAAATACTATTTCAGGCACACTTGTAACATAGAATATCAGCACGAGGTTGAAAGAGTCACAAGTCTAAAACAGAATCTTACTTCTGTCCCCCTTTGAACAATGGGCTGTTACAGAGGAGGCACTGCGCAGATGGAGACTCATAGTAGTTTGACCAGGAGGTCTGCTCTATGGTGACTGTCTCCTCACTCACGTTGGACAGGATGAGCCGCGAACTGTTGAGTTCATGGATGAGCGTGAAGACCTCGGCCAGTTCCGATTCATTCTCTGGGATCTGCATTACCTTGCGCAGCAACTGCAGGGTGGATTGACGCTGGATCTCTTTCTGGGATGGGGTTAGGGGCTCGCTGGTGTTCAGCACATCAGACTGACCTGGACTGACCTCCTAGAAAGCAAGTCAAACACTCACATATTCAACTAGGCAAGCATGGGGATGAAATATTAAGAAGCCCAAAGAAGTCCTAAAAGGTAACAGGAACACAGTAACCTTTGTACCCAGTAGACTTGACTTCTACTCCACTGCTTTATCATTGACCCCAGACAGTAGCTTCAAGCCTAAGTTACTTCACCAAAAATACTCTATTACAGCCCAGCCTTTCGGGAACTCCTATAATACTGCTAGACCACCACAGATTTGCCACTAAATTGGAGTATTAGTGCAGAGATGGAGGATCAAGGCGGTGAGGACAACCGTCAACAGGTATATAAACACTTCAATAATCCTGGCAAATCGTCACTGCCTTTCTCCACAGGTTATCAAGCACATTCTCCCGTATAATGTGCTCAGGCAGCCACGGCAGTCTGCCCATCTCTCCAGAAGCTAGAGGAGACAAGTGCTAAATGAGAACTAGGGGCTGCAATGTATGGAATACACTAATCAATTACAATTGATCAACTACAGTCCTTAGACACACACACCCCCAACATACATATGCTATCAAGACAAAATGCACAAGCACAGGAGAATGAAACTCTAGGTGGCTCAGAAGAACAGCAAGAACGTAAACAGCCTAATCTGTTTAATCACTTAAACTCTTCTGCCAACATTTCAACCTGTTTTTCTGTCTAGTCTAGCAATGAGATAAATGATCAGTCCAAAAGCGCAGAGACAATAATGAACTGTGTGATAGGAATGTTAAACAGATCTAGAACCAGAAAATATGAAAAAACTACATGAGGAAGAGCAAGCCACGTCTCTCAAAATGCAAGCTGAGCTAAGCACACTGCTGTTCCTTACACAGCTGCTTATGTGTGAGTTTCACACAGGCCATTTCGGTTTGTGTGTTTTTTTAAAAAACACTATGCAAAGTTATGTTCTTCAAAATAAAAAAGGCAAGTGGAAGAGTCATATTACCACACAGACTAAAATGTAGTGTCTCTATATGCTGAGTGGACATTTCAGCTAAGAACAGGACAGCTTTTTATTTTTTTTTTAAACCAAAACAATTCTGTATGAGAAAAGCTAACCTTTGAAACTTTAAATGCAAAAAAACCCCAAACAAACAAAACCCAGAATTCATTATTTACATCCATGTAGAACAGCAGACAACTGAAAAACATCTTTTTACAACAGAAAAAAATACTACATCCAGAAATAAATTCAGGCTGGAAGTAAAGTTGCACTACAAACCCCTAGAAATAGGAAGCTCTAATACAAGATGTACTAACTTAATTGACATTGGCCACACACTGGTCACAAAGCAGAGCATACTTGAGAGTTTCTTGATGAAGTCTGAAGCTCAACAAAGCTGACAGAACAAATGTGACTGTAGGGGTGATTTCCCCAGCAGGTACCAACACGTCGTAACCATTTTTAAGCTACAGAGACATCCAGTGGTAGAACTGAGCGCACTCAGCCTCATTCACAGCCTGAAGCACCACCGTTGCAGGGGTTGGACAGCACAAACATCACCACAAGTATTTTCAACAGGACATTATTCTGTTAGAAAAGCTTACCATAATGAAAAAAAATTAACATGTTCCCATAGGCACTTGCAAACTTGCAAGCGATGGGCAGGTACTTCCCTGCCCACCTCACAATAGCCATTTGATAAGACAAACTATTCCAAACCTTACCAGGGATTTTGCTGTTTTCTCAGCTCTGTCTTTGGCAAGATTGTATCCGCAGCTTGGACAGATTCGTGGCTTGTGCCTGTTTGTATACACATAACTACAAGAGGGGTTCTTGCATTTCCCTCTGCCACGTGATGTTGCCAATCCCAAATCCTGAATGACACAAAAAAGATGTTTGCTGATCTTGACTTTTAGATGCCAACAAGATTCTAGAAAAGTCCGCTTGAATATCATATGCTTTTTCACCACTCTAACACCTCGTGTAAAGGTCAAATAGCAGGCCCTGTCACTTGGCACAGAATATTTTAACTGGCACTCAAACATTTTGGCACCAGTTCCAGAAACCACAAACACTCACACATTAAACTCATTCAGAAACCACTGATCCTCCCCGCTGAACTCAAGGAAGGGATGGGGATTATGCTAGGACATGAAAAAAACTCCAGTTCTTAACAAGGTCCCAAACACGACTGCAGCAGAGTACAGTCACCCTGGATTAGGTCAACAGATGACATACAAAGTACAGATTGTCTCACATTAAATGAGATACATTTCTGCAAGTCAGTAAAACAAAAGTCACAGAACAGTCTCATCCCAGAGATGACACTCCCCATGGCGTAAGTCAGACCATCTGAAAAATTCTCACCAAAGTTACGGTGCAGCTGTACTTGTAGGAAGGGAATATGTCTGGTTTGACCTCCACTACTTTAACCTGAGATGCCCTGCTGGTCAAAGCACTGTGGAGCTAAAGATTGAAAGCAGAAAAAACAACACCCATGAGACACCTACTACTGAATACATACATCCTGTAAGCAATACCTATTAGCATTTTCTACCCCCAAGAAGTCAATTAATGTTCATTTAATATCAGAGGACTACAACACATTGGTTTGCATACTAAGGCATTACAATTCAAACAGAAGTATTCCAGCATCTTGGCATACTCAGTCATATCACTTCACAGGTGAAAGACTCAGCACTCAGTATTGCATGTCAGATTATCAAAGCACTAGCAGATCCTCAACACATCTTCTGGAAGTAGCTGGGAGGTTCTCAAAGCAGCCAACAGAAGGATTGTCCAACAGCATATCTCAGTTCAGTTCCTACACTCAGCCACCTAGCATTTGTGCTGCTTCTAAGCCATCTCAAAAACTGTCAGTCACAGATCTCACCATCATAAGGCTGCAAAATTTTTACTTTCTATTTCTCACCACTCAGGTCATATCCCTCATCTGGGGAAAAAAAACCCACAGGAAAATAATATGCATTTGAAGAACAAACCATAGGTACCTTTCGCTCCTCAGCACTTGGTGGCTGCAGAATCGACTGGCCCAATTGTTTCAGCGTACTGGGCTTCAAGCCTGATGTCCTCACAGGGGAATGCTTGTCTTGAAGGAGGAAAAGGATGCAGCAGGTTAGATATGAGAAAACAGGTCCTGTTTCGTTCTGACATCTTTGGTAAATGCCACCATAGTCATGTGAGATTTTTCCTCTGAACTTGAAATGACCCAAGCAGGTGTTTCATGGACCATTTACCTGCCCTCTCGGATAGAGAGAAAGAGAGTGGTTTTTTCTAGGGTAGGTCACTATCTCCCTTCAGACATATCTTATTATTTGACAGAGACCACTTCAATATGGTGAGGAAAGACAACCACTCCCAAAGCATACCAGAGAATACTGCTTTTACCGGTATTTGCAAAGGTCTGTCTGTTGCTAGGCTGCTCAGTGCTGGCTTCTCTCCCCACACTGGCTGGTGCGGGCAGAATGGCTCGCATGGGTCTTGCTGCAGCCAGCAAGGAGGGCTTAGGTCTTGGTTTACTCTTTACTTCTTGTCCTTTGTGTGTAGCAGCTGGAGCATCAATTCTGAAAGATAAGAGCTACAATTGGAAAAAAAATTCCATGGTTTCCTCTTCAGCCTCAATTTTCTTCTCTTCCCTGAACTGTGCTTTATTAGCACAATAATCACAGCTATTGCAGTAGAAAAGAGAAACAGGGCTAAGGATACATCTGCCCCGTGACTGCAACTTACTTGTCACTTTAAAAAAAAATTAGCTCTAATGGATGACAAAATCTCAAAGGAACAATCCTGAACTGGCAGGAAACAGACAGTAAACAGAACAGGTCTTACAGGAAGCACTGCCAACAGCCTTCAATTTCTTGGATTAGTCCCATCATCACACAACAGACATCATACGCTCCCAAAACATATGGAAAACACTCACCCCATTGGCTTTTTTGCAGAGGCATTTGGACTCGGCACCTCAGAAGGCGGTGGCATCCCCAGCCCTACGCTATCTTTTTCTGCCTGCTCCGAAGAAGAGTCTCCTTGCCGTTGGCTCTCTTGACCCAGCATCACTCCAACAGCACTCCCTCTGTCTTCAGCAAGCACATTGTTTGCAAGAATGTGAGCCTCAGAGATGATCACTTCCTTCCACTCCGTCTCGTGCATTTGCCCTCCAACAGGCACAGCATTCAGCAGCTGGCTGACAGCTTCAGAGCTTTCCAAGGCGGATTTGGAGGTACTCTCGCTAACAGCTGCTGGTTCTGTGAATACTGACTGCTGACCTCTTTTAGCTGCCGGAGTTCTAAGAGACGTGCCTGAATTTGGCTCAGATTTGCTTTTTGGTTGCTTTTCCTGGAAACAAAGAGATAGCCACATTTCAGAGCTTTAGGCTTTCACAGATAAATAAGTTTCCTTCACATATGCCAGGTTTGCCATGGCCTATTTAATGCTAGATCAAAACAGCAAAATCCTAAGTGTTTAAGCAGTGAATTGTACGAGAGCAGAAAGACATCATCTCCTACGACAGCAAAGCCCCTGTTAACATTTTATCTAGCCTCCTGGCCCTTCATGTATTATTTTTAGACTCTGTTTACTTTGAAGAATCAGTCTTTCTTAAACTCCCTCAAATATCACCATTAGCATCAACATCACAAACTCACCCACCACCCCCTGTAACAAGGACCCACCTCCTACACTCCCCTTTCATAGCTTCAGCTCTGACGCTGTCTGTTCTTCCACATTACTGAGGGACCAAAGGCATAGAGAACTTGTATCTTTTGGATACGTGCATTCAGAAAACCACACATTTGAGTGAGTCAGGAAACAGAGAATTACTCAGGAAGGTTTTTTGACTTTAAGAAAAATGATACCTTCAAGACTAAGGCTACAGAAGCCATGTGTTGGGGTCAACGAAGGTACAATGGAACACTGAATTGGTAATATGCAAAAAGATATCAGAAATGGAATCAAGAGTTTCTGGCATGATAAATACAATTCTAAGTTCTCTACAGAGTTCATACTCAGAAGGACAATCTAGGTTTTTAAAAAAAGGTTATCTTCTAACCTAGTCCCTTTTCTTTCTAAGGAACAGGAAGGTATGTATATATTTAGTTTCAGTTCTACTGATGTTATTATTGGTTAAAAAAAAATGCTGGCGCATGTTTTTCCCAAGGCATGACACCATAAAAACAAGTGGAACTGTTTATGCAAACGTGTTCCCAGAAGAGCAGAATAAAACTGAAAGACAGAAAGAAAACTCCTTCTAAAACCTTTCAGTTCTAATCAATGTAGGATTTAACAGGAGCAGGCATGCCATATTCAGGCAGAAACACGTTTTTGCAGTTAGTCATCTATCTACTTCAGCAGGTTTACAGAACAAAAGCTAAGAAACAATCATTGTTATTTGTATCCTACCACGTAGGAAACCCAGCCATCAGCTCAGACACTACAGAGTTTGTAAGCTGCCTAAAAAAGCTCTTGCCCCTAAATGCCTAATGGATCTAGACAGAAAACAAAGGAGGTTCAGAACAAATCCACCTAAAGCCACTGACTGTCAATGCAAATTTTCACACTGAGAACATCCTTTAACTTGCGCCTGAGGAGCCTTGTTTCAGACAGAAATTTAATGAACGCACATCTGTTCAGAGCTGACTAATTACCATGACACAGCCAAGGTTTAAGGAGCAAGTGTTTTTTGCTGTATACAGCTAGTAGAGATGCCAATAACTTAAGCAGGGTAGGTATCATGTGGAGAAAGACTTTTCCACTCAAACAAACTTCACAACTCCACCAACACCTGGGAATTTCCTTCCAGCCAAAGGTCAGAACATCATGAAAGATCAGACACACGGCCATGAGTCAACAATACCCAACAGCACTTCAGGTTCCACTAGATAACTTTATTAGCTAGCTCCCAAAGGATCATATACCTACTGCAGTTGAGAATTGTTCCTCCTTTCTGTTGAAAAAACGACGTTGAAAGACCACAGAAAACCTCAATTTGTAGAACTTCAAACACAGATAAATTACCACAAACAAATGGTTCAACCAAATCCCTTAGCTTAGCTAGGGCTGTAGCAGGAAGAACAGGCAATGCCTTCCAGTCACAGGAACTATAATGCAGGCAGAGGGCCAGAAGAATGTGTGTCCTCTCAGTGAGAGAGAGTCACCAAATGCAGCCCCATCTATTCTAACTGACACCATTACAAGTGGCATCTTTACCCAAGGTGTGATGATTTTGGGTCTGTCTCACCTTGGCCGAGTGTCCTCTGCAACGGTGACTTGTTCCAGCACAAGCACTGGAACATAACTGCAGGGATCAATTCTGGCATATCTGACCTCCTGTGCTAGATCTACAGGTCTAGAAATATCACAGGCGTTCACAAAACCAGCACTTTTTGTCTGAAAATCCAGGAAGGAAAGGCATATTTACCTTTGGGATCCATTTCCCTCCCAGGAAGTTCCCACATGTCGGGCATTTTGGTGGCTTATGCCTGGTGACATAAGTGAAGGAACAGCCAGGATTGGTGCAATTTCCATGTCCCCTGCGAGTATAGGTGGTTGTCTGAAACGAGAGTTGTCAAGAATTTCTCTACAGAGCTGAAAAACAAAAAGCTGTGCTCATCGCTCCCTTTTTCCTCATAAGCACTTTACAAACATTATTCAGCAAATCACCAGCCCGCCACTATTATTCCTTTTACTAATCAAGCACCACACAGTTGGATCAGAGTGAGTCAGCACCACAACTACTATGAGTCTAAATGTTCAGTCTACACAAGAGCCTTCAGTATTACCAGAATTTAGATCAAACTGCAGAGCAGAGATGAACAATGCATATAACCTACTGGAGAAGCTAACCTTGCATTTACAGTGATGTAACAGTTCTCTTATGAATATGAAAAAGTCATAATAAGATGGTATAAAAATGATTCAAACAGCAGTCCACAGCGAGGCAAGATGTGATTAATAGACTCATGTCAACAGGGCGACAAGACTTGAAGACAAGCACTCATGATGCAGAGGCATTTTTCATCAGTAATTTGTTGCTGTATGCAGTGGTCAAGCACTCCCTGGTGCTTTACTGTAACTTGCTGTAAACTACTGTAACACCAGCAGCACCACCAGGCGCTATTTATAACAACAACTAAAGCAGAACCTGTCATCTTTGCCAGGACAACTGCATCAACACGTTGAGGTTTTGTCAGCACAGCACTTCTCAATATCCTGTACTCAACACTCCCCAGGGAGCTGTTGTGCCGCAAGTCCCTAACTAGGTACATTTTTTTCCAGAAATGCAAGTGCTGCTGTCAAAGAAATGAGACAATTTAAGCTAGGCACTTCTCCTCAGAAACAAAAACCTGAGGTATTTCCATTTTCCCTAAGACACCTGGAAGAATATCACACTACACCACTATAAATATCTGCAGTGTTCCACCATCTGGAAGCATAGAGGACCTGGAAAACAGGATTTGATGCTAGCTTATACAACCCTAGGAGCTGCAGTGCTGACTGTACAATGAAGACGTACAATGGCTACAGAAATACAGGTGGCTGGAGGGGTTAGATTAGAGAAATAATACTATTCTTCCTCATGCAACAGGCCACACAACCTTTTACATGCGTTCTCAAAACCTTAGGTCACTGCTCCTCTCCTGTCATGTGGCCAAAGCGAAAGCCATCCACGAGACCGGGGAGCTCACGCGTTCCTGTCACAAGAGCAGACTCTTGCCCTTAAAGGGATGGACACTGGCATTTTATGAAAACAAATGTGCATCCAAGTAGAGGACATAGATGGCTACACAGACCCTGAAAAGGGCAACACAGAAACTGCTGTTGGCCAGATGTGTTGTGACAGCATTACCTACTCCATCTGTTTCCACGAACTCCTTGAGGAAGATGGCAGTAGAAACAGGCCTGTATAAGACACTCGAGGAAGTCAGAGACCCCCATCAGGGCGGGTAAAATGTACGAGGCGTAAAACCAGGGACAAGAAATATATCGACCAACATGATGACTCCGAATTGGATTATCTTTAAGAACTGGACCATGATCAAACCCTTCGTACTCTAACATTTTTAAGACAAACCTATGGTAATATATCCATACCTTAAAATACCATACAAGACTCTGAATTTCTTACCAATTTAATCGATGCTGGGTTCTCCACAATGGAATGAGCTGGCAAAGGTAACATAATAAACTGTGTAGCGGGTGTGGAGGAGCTACTCTCTTCAGTATCCTAAAATGAAGCCAAAGGGAAAATACATGCAGAAAACAAGAGACATAGTGACCTGTGTCCCGCCCTCTCATGAACGCTACCACTGAGCATGTGTCTCGAGGACTAATGAGACCAGAAAGCAGGAAAGAGGAGCGATCGTTTCAAAAGCAATGGCCTTACCAGGTCTACTCTGGAAATTACCAAACTCATCACAGCTTGAAATTGAAAACTGCGGATGCAGTTCTTCACAAAATAACGTTTTCTATAACCGATCCCTAACACCTCAACTTAAAAGGACTCGCTTCTATCTCTCTGCAACCAAGAAAACAGCTATCAGCACAAAGGTAAGTTTCTTCTCCCCAAAATCTTGTAGTCCAACTGTGGAACCCACCCCAAGTATTGTTATAAGAAATAATTTAAAAAACCTCAAGCAGTCATCTTGAGACACAAGTGATACCAGCATATGGCAGAGTCGATCTGGAAGCAGAGACACTGTAATCACTGAGTTACAAAAGTTGCTGTTTCCCTCACCACTGAGCGTAAGCACGCTGGGCAATACAGGATCTCCTGCAGCCACCAAGGATCTCAAGTAAAATGTGTTAAACAGCACTCGGACATTTCAGGTGAGACGCTGACAGGAGGCTGAGTGTCACTAGAACAACTTACCTTCCCAGTCACCACAGTCACCACAGACACACCATCTGAAACCTGAGGACGGGCCACAGCGATGCTCCCGTTGGAGATGTCTGCGGAGCTGCTAACTAGAGTCTCTTCAATAACTACCCGAGCTGTCTGATACGGTTGCCCTTCTATTTCCAAAGAAGCCTCATCCAAGAGGATATCTCCAGCCACTTTGTCTGTCACAGGCCCAACATAGTGAGAAAGAACCTCTGACGCAACCACTTCTTCCACAGCATCCGGCTGACCAAAGGAAGCAGTCTCTTCCGCTAGTCCTTCGATGGCGATGCACTGCTCAGAAATGCCAACGTGGCTCGAGTCCACAGAAAGGATGTTTTGCACAGCATCACGGGAGACATTTGTGATATTGGTGGAAGCTGTTAACCCTTCGGACGCTGCCTGACCCTGTGTCACACACAGTTCCAGCGACTGCCTGCTCCTGTCCTCTTGAAGAGTGGTTTTGGGAATAATTATATAGTCTGAGCGAGGAAGAATCTTACGGAAACCTGGAATGTCTGGAACTACTGCAGTTCGAGCGGACACCTTGGAGTTCTGTTGGCAAAAACAGAGTATGGAATAAATGAATATGAGAGAAGGAAGAGATTCAGTTCTCAATCCTGCTATTTTAGTGCCTAAAGTTCAAATGGTTTCCTGAGGTAGTTTGCTGGGAATTTTTCCACATGACAGAGCCTGCAGAATCCCTCTCAGCCCTGGTTTTACCATCAATCACCCCGATGACATGACACAAAAATAACTACCATCCCCGTCAGCAGGTACTAGACATATCCCATCTCGAATTTCAAAACATTACCCCTTGACTGAACGGAAGGCAAAAGCAAGAGACAGCGGCCTCACGCAGTGCTTCTTTATAGGCTGTCCGAAGCAGAAATACAGACTGGAACCTGCCGTTGAGAGATTCTCCCACACACAGCGCTGCGTAAGCAGCTAAGTGCCTCTCTCTTCACACGGCAAAGAACTGCCAGGAAGATGACTTACCGGGTCCAATCCCTCTTTCTCTAGCTTGGCTTTCTCCAAGTAATAGCTTTTTTCAGCCACACTGAGCAACCTCCAGCTCTCACTGATCTTTTTGTTGATTTCAGATTGAGGGAGGTGGGGGAGCTCTTGCTGTACTTTCAAGTAAATGTCGTAATAGTAGAGGAGGTAAGCAGACCTGAAACGCAACCAGAGACTGAAACATTAACATCGCTCTACATAAATTCCTTTGGAAAAAGAAATCCACGAGGTTTACGCTTGTCTCAAGGTCAAACGACAAGCAATTACATTCAATTCTACTTGTAAATGCATTTTTTAACCACATGAAAACTAAAATTCTGAGGAGAACCTCTGAAGTAAGGAGAAAGAGCCTAAGGCAAATTATTCTGGGGTACCCAAACTTTATATCGAGCAACGGTAGCACCCATAAAGGCAAGGATGTCGGAGCGAGCCCAAAGCATCGAGCTAGTTTTTTTACATATGAAGTTTTACACTAAAGTGCACTGCAATGTTCACTCTTACCAGACACATGGAAAACTGCTCCCATACCCTACACAGGCGCTAAATGAAGACAGAAAGAACTTACCTAGGCTTTTTGGCTTTTTCTCCATGATCGCCAGTACTTTTATATTTCTTTTTCTTCTTAGACGGCACTGGTGATGCGTAAGTGTAAGTGCCCTCTATTTCCTCCATTACCACAGTTACTTCAGTGCCATCATACGGAGCCTCCATTGCTAAAAATACATACTTTGTGTTATGCACTTGCCGAGTTATACAACATTTCTCCCGACAAAGATCGCGCTCGGTCACCTTTGTAAACTGACAGCATCACTGGGACATACGACTGACTTTAACTAACCACGGTAACGACGTGTTAGCTATTTATCTATTTTTAGAAGAAAACACCTTTATTACTACGACCTCAATACCATCAGTTCAGCGCAGACACACCGCATCTGCACTTAAAAGCTGCAATTCCCCGGGAACCTCTCAGATAAGCTTGGTAATCTAGAACGAGCCTTACGCCCAGCAAGCTGGTGTCCAGCTACAAGATATCACGGCCACGCTCGCAAAAGCGAGGCCGGAGGCCGAGTACGCCCGGGAGCCTCACAATCCTCTCACCCACCAGAAGATCTCCAGGGCCCCTCGCTTAACACCGATGACAGCTCCAGCCCCCGCGGCGCTGGGAGGCAGAGAGGAGACGAGGAGCCTCAGGAGATAAAGGGCAACACCAGCTGGGCTCAGGGGCAGCCCACGCACGACCCGCGCCGCGGCCCCACGCAGCCGCTAATCCCGGGCAAGCCAAAGCCCGTTAAGCCGAGGCCCCGTCTCCTCCACAGCGCCCGAGGCGAAGGGAAGCGGCGGGATCCCCGTCGGCCCTGGGGAACCTTCCCCCCCGCCCCCCAGGTGCCCCCCGAGGAAAGGCCCCGGCGCCTCGGCCACTCACTGGGCAGCAACGGGGA